CCGAACGTTAAGCTATGCAAAACCGAAAAATGCAGTTCCATAGAACTTTTTATGCTCATTTCAACCATGCCAAAATGATTTGGCGCAAGTAAATAATGAAGAGGTTCTAGAAGGTTAAAGTTCAGTTTTTAGTAATTTTAAATATTAATATCTTATGAACGTTATAACCGATTAAAAAACTAATGACCTCACCATAAAGGTAATTAATTTGCCCTTCAGCTGATGTGCATAATTTATAGCCTTTTGTATTTTAAACCAAAACCACTAAAAACGAACAAATATTATTTTTTCATGAAATAACTGCATAATTAATGGTAAAGTATTTTATATTAATTAGAAAGTACAAGTTATTATCTTTAATTCGATATTACACATTTTATCATGATTTACTTTTGGGTTTCAACAATTTAGTGATAGTTAATAAAAAATACAAATAAACCTCTTATATCTTTCTTTTTTTTACCTGCGCAAATTAAATTTGGTATCGTTGAAATCAGCGTAAAAAATTTTATCAGTCGGCATTTTTGGTTATTTTTTAGCTAAACGGTCACTGTTCTGCACTTGTTCTAGAAACTTACGCAAACGAAGGTGACGCCAACGAATATTTAGTATGAAGAATTTTTGGTTTTACTACTAATATCACTAGAAACTATAGAGTAAGCCACATTCTGCACAAGCGAGCGAGAAGACTGTTTTATTACAAAACCTTTCTATTATTGAATCATTCATAAACTGTATGAAAAAATGAAAGGGAGAAGTATACATGCCTTCTATAATTTTGACTTATATGTATATTTGGCAAGTCTTTGTGTAAAAAACGAAAAATACACATTTTCATTTCTTTGCCAGCTTGGAAAATATACGCTCATTTTTATTTAAATGTGATATAAAGCTCATTAAAATGTTCTGTAATGTCTTGTTTTTAAGTTTGTTATCATAGTGCTTTGTATTTTTATTGTCCACTATAAGTGAGTTGCTTCTATTCAAAAAGTTCTAGTTCAAAGAATTTCTTTGTTTTGAATTTGTTTGTTTATTGTTTTTAATTTTTAAAATTCATACTTTTGACATGTATGTGAATGGTGGAGTTGCCGCTTTCCTCCTCTTCGGTGGGTTTTTATATTAAAAAGGCATCAAAATGAAAAAATCTCCTTGGTATCTCTGCATCTGTTTAACTTTTTATGGGAAGATGTATGAAAATCCAACTTGCTATAGTTTCATATGCTTAACAGTATCACAACAGTATGATTACAGTATCTCCCCATAATTTTTCATATGAAAAAATATATTATATGCATCCCACTCGATATAATTTTTAGCGTATCAACAGTTCATATGGCTTCATACCATGTAAATGCACCGTTATTGTGATATAAAAAAAAAATCAAATTACTAATGAAGAAAATCGATGGATAAATAAGAAATAATGAGTGGTCAAATGAACATACGCAAAGCTACTTGTATGAAAAATGAGCAGCAAAGAAAGTTACTCATACGCCACGTACACTTGAGTAACACGCTTATGTGTTGTTTATGGATGATTTTATTAGCTTGATTTGACGTATCTGATTTTAAAATCATTAAATCGGTTCGTAAGATATACATGATTAAGTGGAACCACTTTTTGTTTTAAGCTGAATAACGGTAAATTGAAAATATATCGAACACGTATCCATAGAAAATAAAATTTATCCGATTTTTGGAATCTCCGAGCAATTCTTCATAAAAATTGGATAGTGCCGTATGGAGAACAAAAAAAAAACTAAAATTTGTGATCCAGGTAATTAGGCTGTTCTGCTGATCAAAATTTCGACAAAAAAATAATTCACTATTTACGAAAAAACTTAACTGGTCTAACTTTTTTTCTGCGCCCCTATTTCTACTTCTGCACCAACCACAAATTTCAGTGCCTCTCACACAAGCTTCGTAGAGAGATTGAAATGTTGAAAGCGCGCAACTATAAAAGTCACACGCGTGAATGCGAAATTGTGGTAACTTATGCGTGTAGAGCACTCAAACTCATTCCGCTAGTCGTACAGGGCGTATGAGTGTTGACTACCATGAAAGTCATTCGCGCGATTAAACACTGCATGCATCAATATCATAATGTCTGGGCAAGTAAATATGTTAACATATGGGAGAATCTCCGGGCAAGTTTGTTTTACTAACATTCACATTTATTTTAATAATTCCATTTTACTTTTTATAAAAAATCTGGACCAATTTGATATCAAATTTGACGGGTTAGTTTGGGGCACCGAAACTGCACATATGGACACTGTGCATTTAGACATTATTTCGGCTTCAATGCTTGCTTTATTTCGGTTTTTGTCATATGCATTATTTCGGGTTTCAGAAAAAACACTTAAAATTAAAAAAAATAGCTTTTTTTATCAAAAAAATTACTCACCGATTTTTAAAAAATTGGCATTGTTGTTAATGCGAATTAACCCCCTTTCTTCTGATATGCACATTTGCATATTTCGTATACACAAATTTGAGAAAAAAAACATTTAAAGGCAAAAATACCTTTTTTGTATAAAAAAATATTTTAAACAAAAAATTAACTAACTTTTTCAGATATGCATATTTGTATACTTCGTACATAAAAATTTGAGAAAAAACACATTTAAAGGAAAAAAATACCTTTTTTTGTATAAAGAAAATATTTTAAACAAAAAAATTACCAACCGATTTTTTAAAAATTGGCATCATTGTTAAGGCGATTAAGTCCCCTTTCTTTTGATATGCATATTTGTATACTTCGCATATAAAAATTTGAGAAAAAACACATTTAAATAAAAAATACCTTTTTTATATACAAAAAAAATATTTTAAAAATAAAAAATTACTAACCGATTTTTAAAGAAATGGCATCGTTGTAAAGGCGATTAAACCCCCTTTCTTCTGATATGCATATTTGTATACCTCGTGAATAAAAATTTGAGAAGAAACGCTTAAAAGGAAAAAAATAACTTTTTTTATCAAAAAATATTTTAAACAAAAAAACTACTCACCGATTTGTAAAAAATTGGCATCGTTATTACGGAGACTAAACCCCCTTTCGTCTTGTATGCATATTTGTATACTTCGTATATAAAAATTGGAGAAAAGAACACTTAAAACCGAAAATAATATCAGCAACAAGTACTACTTTGGACTGAGTACGCAATTCAGGAGTAAAATCCTCTTTCGACATACGAAAGCCACACTTTATAAGTCACTCATAATACCCGTGCTGGTATATGGCGCAGAAGCATGGATGATGAGGTGGCTCTTAAAGTATTCGAGAGAAAGATTTTGCGGAAGCTTTACGAGCCTTTACGCGTTGGCGACTGGCGTGTTTTATTGAAATCGACCAAAATCGCTTTGGCGGTTACATAGCCATATAAGAAGAAGAAGAAGAAGTGAATGGATATATAACTTTATCAGTCACACAGCGTTATAATCCCGACGAAATCCTTCACGGTAGTACCGGGAGGGGAACGGTACATGACGGTAGGATATTTAGTTTGGGTTAACACTGACGGGGTTAGGCTTCCAATGCTTCCTCCTCGTAAAATAAACATGCGCAGTAAAAAGTTAACTATTTAAATCGACGAATAGTTTTATATCAACTTTTGCGAACTTCTGTTTACGTGTTTTTGTACAACATATTTACCCCTATTGGTTACAATAATTTTAAGCTATAATAACAATTTTTTAGTAAGTTATTGGTTTTAATTTTTTTTGTATATTTTATTTATTCTCTACTTTTTAGTCTTGTTTGTATAAAATTTTGCAATAGATATTACAATAATTCAACGATATTAATAGATTAGCGCACACACATGCATATGTATATGTTTTTACATACAGACGAGCACAAATTAATTTAATTTAAAGAACATTTCCGCAGTAGCGTATGTAGTGCATATTTTTAGGCGCAATATATAACTAGGGTACGTTGAGAAATGCATGAATCCAAAGTATCAGTCTCTTTTTCTATAATTGATAGAAATGTCAAAAAAGGCAGAAATAAAAAACTTGCGCCAGCTGCGATTCGAACCGGGGTTCTCAGATTTTCTAAGCGGATACTCTCTCTGCATGCCAACGCCGCACATGAGAATTCGTTGACTAAATGCCTACATATAAGTAAATCGCTAATCATACCAATTGTCCGCACATTCGGACCACTTTTAGTACAATTCACCTGTTTTACATTACATTGCTTACAATTTTTGGACTATCTTTGGTCTAGATACAAAATTACTATACCTACGACTATATTTTTCGAGCAATTGGGCCAAGCTTTCCTTCAGGGTTTGGTCTGATATTTGTAAGTACCAGGTACAAGGACAGGTGGTACAGGTAATCATTTTTTTAGCTTCCAAACAACTAATTTAAAATGGGGTAATAGGTTGACTAAAATTTTCCGATGTTCTTGAAAGGTATGAAGCATTGTCCTTACTTGTTATAGATACTTTTGTACATTCATACATTTGTACAAACATACATACATATGTACTTAAATCGGGATACACACTTGTGTATCGATTACGCAGGTGCAATTATTTTGTGTACACAATGTACACATTTTTATAACCACACTTTTTTATGGGCTAGGGGCTCGAGTGATTTTTTATGTGAATTCAAATAGTTTTCATGGACATGAACGTTTAATGCCGCGCCACTTTTTCCATATTTTGCCTTATTCATTTTTTACTTTGTACACGTCGTGATTTAGCTGTCCCTGGTTCAGATAAAAATTTTCACATTAATCACATATTCTTGCGCTGTTAAATGCGCACACCCAAATAACAAATCACATGCCTGCATTCAAGTATCTGTGTAGTTAAGTATACATATTTGCGATTGAAAAATTGTATAAAATCTGCGTTTCAGTTGGAAATAATTCAAGCACAACTGGTATCATTTGTTTAAAAACGTAAATACACAATGGATTTAAAACATTGTTTTCTAATAATATCATTTAATTTTTGCACACACTTGGACTGTCGTACTTGATTTGTGTGTGTGTTATCACGGTCGTTTTGGTGGTCGCTTTCGTTTCGTTTTTTAAATGATTGTATTTTGCTGTTTGTGCATTTTCGAACGTAACTAGCAAGAATTAAATGTATTTTCGCGTTGTTTAAATATTCGTCGTGAAAAATAAAACAAACGAAAAATTGTTTTCGCCACATCCGACGCACGTAAAAAGTCTAAATTTTTGTATTTCTCTACTACTAACATTACTGTGGACTGTTCTCTTTAGGGCCCTATTGGTCTTCTTCTTCTTTCAATCGCTTTGTTCTTATTTCGCACATTGATTGCTCCAGCTTCTCCGAGCGCCATTACTTCTGAAACTCTAATGTATAAATATTCGCACTCTCCGCGCAGAACTTCGCAGGGAAGCACTCTCTCTGGTAGCGGCAACAACAAGTGCTCCAAATAGATAGCAAACGATTATTACACTGTGCAACACTGTGTTGCTCAATATGAAAGAACAACAATAACATGCACTTCTGCACTACTGCTACAAATAAAATATTTACATGTATGTATGTATGTATATACCCTGTCGGAAACTCAACTACTTTAAGGGCGGTTGCTCAAAGCCTGGTTGACACTAATCATCGGTTAACATCGTTACCGACGTTTTCGACTCCATGCATATAACACGGTGTCGGTAATGTCGATAACGATGATAAGCATTTTTTTATTAACTACAAGTACTTGAAATTCTTCCTTTGCTCTTGTAAGCAACTGACTTTATTAACATGGCGATGTCCTAGTAAGAAGTATGAGTTCACTCTAGAAATTCGAACATTTATTAATATAGATTGTTTTTTTTTTATAAAAATAAATTTTAAATTTAAGTATGAGAGTGAAATGAGAAATCAGTACACTCAAAAAATTTAGTACTTTAGTATTTTTAATAAAAAAGAGAAGCCTGTGCAGAATTTACCATGATAACCCATATAATATCTCTTCAAATTATATCTACTATTCCTCTGGAAATCACTAAAACACACCATACACTTTTCTTCAGCCTTAAAATTTTCTGTTAATAAAAAACCCACTTCCCATTTTTTACTAAATTCCATTTCATTATAGTTATCTATGTTTTCAAATGCAAGATTAAATAAATTTTTTAGCGCACAGTCGGCAAGTTTACTTCGCAAATTGATTGTGCGGCAATAACAAAAGTCAAGTAGAAGTAGCAGCGGTAGCCAATCAGCGCACAATTTATACCCAGTCGGATTTGGGTGCTTCAAAAATCTTTTTACATACATCGTCGTTCTATGGAAAGTTGAAATGTTGCCTTCTAGTGCACTTATTTTCTTGCAAACCTTAAAGAAATAACGAAACCTTCATATATTTAAAGAAAAATTTCTTCATAAGCAATTCTTTTAGGAATTATGTTCTGCATGTTCCTAATGAGCCAGCATGAATGCATCGACTGAAGGCAAGGGTGGTGTGAAGAAGTGCTTTACAAAAACACTAGGGGTATTCTCTGAGTCTTGCAAAGCCCATGCACGTTGCACAGATTGCACGGTAAAAACCGGTTTTCGTATGGGACAGCTTTGCAAACCGTGCAATCCGTGCACCGTGCAAGGACTTTGCCAGACTCGAAGAATACCCCTTCTAAGTGCAGAAGTGCTTATGGCGTGAGCAGCACTGTCCTGGGAGCGAGTCAATTGTCGGACTCTGCATATGATTTCAACCTGAGATGCCCAACAAACAATATGAATCGATTTCGTTTTGTTGATGCGCAAAAATAACTTATCAAAATAATTTCGTTTCGTTTCAGAGCTGAATTAACGAAACAAAACTCAATTGTTAATGTTGAAACGAAATAAATCGACGAAAAGTTGTTGTTGTATGCCAGTGCCAGTTCACTATAAACACCTAGCACCTAAATGCATGCTACAGCTTCAGCATTAACGATTGAATTTCTTTTCGTTAATAAGCAAAATAGAACTATTTTGATAATTACCTAAACGATAAAAAACTGAATCGTTTCAACAGAAACGATTGATTGCTTTTTGGTAAACGCTAAAATTAACGTTACAATGCATCCTTGGTTTCAACTACTTTCACATGCACTCCGTTTAAATTGAGCCTAGAACCTCCTGCTACCTCTGCACAATCAGCTACAACCAAAGTATGTAAATGTGTTTTCAAACGTTCAGTCAATTGCCAAACTGTGTATGCCTATGATTACGGTGACCATCCGTTCTGTTTTTTGCAGGACCGTACTGCTATTTAAAGGTCTGTCCTGCGTAGTTTTTCAAAACAGAAAACCCCCAAAATGTACTGATTTTTTCCAAGTGTCCTGCCTTTGTCCCGCATTTTCTTCGATGTTTTAAAATTAACTTTTCCTAATCGAAATAAAAGCAGTGTCGTTAACTAATTGATAACTACATAAGGGTAAGCTGGTTTTGAAGGTTCAACTAGTCAATGCGTCCTAAATATTGTACGGTTATGGACAATGGATGACGAGAAATTGCAGACCAGCATCAAATATATCGATAACACAGTTCTACAAGTTTTGTGGTAATCGCTTAAGAAAAAAATATATTCCAAGCCAATTTTCTTTTCAAACAACGTTTTCGTAATTTTTTCGAAAAACGTGTTTTTGGTACATTTCGGACCTATTCGTCAATATCTCATGAAAAAATTATCCAATCAACATAAACGACCTACAGTCCTCTTACAAAAGTATATTACTTTGCCGATTTCGATGAAAATTATTAGTGTTACAAGCGATCAAAATCGAAAAATTGAAATTTCAATCATTTTCTTTTTACAGTAAATGAAAATCTGATGAGAAATGTAGATGTTACGGAACACAATCTGCATAAAAAATATATATTTTTGCAAAGAACTCATCAATACCTTTCGAACTGTTGGTCGTTTCATGAGATATTGAGGAATAACTGAAAAAGTACTAAAAATAGGTTTTTCTCGTAAACACTTCTTTGAAACCATGAGTATTTTTTTCGTGTTCAACGACCCAAAGTTTGCCTAAAAAATTTGCTTTACAGAGGTTCTTTTTTCGTGTAAAGTATAATGTTATTATTATTATTATTATGAGCCTTGAGCACTGTGACCTCTAGGGTGGTCTATTTTGCGTGGCCCTTTACCCTATATATGAAGGCTTTTAATATAAGCTAGCACTTCGGTGGGCTTTTTGTTCCATATTTCGAATGGATTAAGTGTTTTATAATGTAATATGCCTTACTATAATTTTGTAAATATTCATTACTGAAAGATTAATACCAATGAAGCAAATGTGATTTATGTTTAAAGTTTAAAATTGGAATTGGAATTTGAATAGCGCATCCTTTTAATACTTAGTAGGTACAGTTTTCCTTTTGTTTGTTTAATATTCATTAACTTTTTATAAAAATATAGCATATTCTACGTCTACATCCCATTTAAACAATTTTTGAAAATTAAAAAAAAAAATAAACATAGGGGCGACAATTTTTTTGGTTGACGGTGTAGCGCATTTTCTTCCATATAAAAATTTTGTCAAGCATACTTTGTATGGTAGAAAATCAAAAAAGGGGTGCGCTATTCAAATGACGAGGAATGTATATATGTAGTATATTTTTGTAATTTCTATACTACGCAATTATGTGTAGGTAAATTTTTGAAAAATTTTCCTGCATTTTCAAAATATATTTATGGTCACCGTACCTATGATGCAAACTACCTTCAAATGAATCTGGCTTAAAGATGTTGAAAATCAGTGGCCGAAATTGCTGCATTCGCTTTATAGTTATTTTATACTTTTACAATGGCCTAATTTTTGGGACTGTCTGCTTTATTCCGACAGGGTTTGTATGTATGTATAGTGGTAGTGTCTACGACATGGTAAAATAATAATCGTTTATTTACCGATTTGAAAACGTGGGAAAATTGTGGTTGCGTACACGACCAAACACATGCCTATGTACATACATATATCCAAATTTACGCATATGTGTATATATGTAAGTACATATACATTTGTGTGAGCACGTATAATGTACATATGTATGTAAATCTATTAGGAGAAAAGTTTGTTTATTTTCACGAAAAACATTGTGCACGCATAAAGCGAGTAGGTGGCTGGGTACTTTGGCCGCATGCGCTTTAAGCTCCTCTCTCACGAGCATTTACTACTCGGACGGCTTTTCCGGTTAATGTTGCTCTTGCTTTCATTGTTAGCTCTTTAGTCGTTGTTGGTTCCATTGTCCAGGAAAAATGGAGAAAACCCCTGAAGACTGCATTGCTTTAAATTTCTATTTGGTCCTTCGGCTAATCTGCGAACAAAGTGAACGCCTTGAATTTGAACTCTGCATTCGAAGAGATTTACAGCCAAAATTCAATAGTCCGAACCAGGGTTATTGCGAATATTCGCATTCGCATTCGCAACAGCGGAATTTCCGCATTAATTTTAACATTCGCATTCGCAATAATCAATGCGGAGCTTTTGCGAATGCGAATGTTGTGGAAGTGCACCGATAAAACGTATATATGGCAAACCAAATGACAAATTGTAGCCAATATTTTTGCCTGTGGTCGTGGGAGTATTTGTGTAACAAAACTGGCCAAATGTCATATTTATCAACTTTGACAAAAATTTCGTTAAACATATTATTTCTTAAGCTATATAACCGCGTTATCAATGGGCAGTCATACAAGTTCCAACTTCTACTTGACCTTTAACGTACGTCAAAGGGAACATAGTCTTATTCTTATTATTATTTGGCGCTGTAACCGCCTTAGCAATTTTGGCCAAGTTCAGCAAAGCACGCCAGTCGTTTCTCCTCTGTGCCAACTGACGCCAATTGGAAACGCCAAGTGAAGCCAAGTCCTTCTCCACCTTATCTTTCCATCGCAGTGGGGGCCTCCCTCTTCCTCTGCTACCACCAGCGGGTTCCGAGTTGAATACTTTCAGAGCTGGAGCGTCGGTGTCCATTCGAACGACATGGCCAAGCCGGCGCGCCGCTGTATTTTAATTCGCTGCATTATGTTCATGTCGTTGTAAAGCTCATACAGCTCATCGTTCCATCGTCTGCGGTACTCGCCGTCGCCAACGCGTTAAGGCCCGTAAATCTTCCGCAAAATCTTTCTCTCGAACACCCCAAGAGGCGCCTCAACGGATGTTGACATTGTCCAGGCTTCTGCGCCATATACCAGCACGGGCATGATGAGTGACTTATAGAGCGTAGTTTTCGTACGTCGAGAGGAGACTTGACTCCTGAATGGGA